TGTTTTCTAGTTAGGGAATCTGTTTATTTGAATATTATCACAAACAAAGCAATCTAAATATCCATCAAAAGGGGAATGGTGAAGTAAATTATATGTAACCATGCTATGGAATAATATACAGCCATTGAAAGTCACATTGCAGAAGAATGTTAATTGACATGAGAAAATATTCTCAATGTATTAGGCAAAAAGAAGCAGGTAATCAAAGATAATAATTAAATAACTACTAATCAATTACTAATTAAAATTAAAAGAATTAACAGAACTATACATTCTTATTAAAAAAAAGAAAAAGAGGGCCAATAGATTGCATTATTGTTCAAAAACACTTCCTGCCTCTTTTGTATAGACTCTGCCCCACTGAGGTCAGCTTGGCCACTGTATTTGCTGAGTGGAAGTGGAAGTGATGTGGTCCTCCAGGAGACCCACAGGTAGAGACTGCTTCTTCATCCCGAGTCCCAGATTCATGACGATGGTGCATACCTCCATGAACTCACCACGGACACGCGATGCGAGCGAGAAATAAACATTTGTCATTGTAAAACACAAACTTAGCTTATCCTAAAGTGACACAGATGCTTTTTAAAAAATTAATGAGCATAACTGAAAGCTTGAAGTGACACGAAGGGGTTTCTTCTTATTTTGCCTCTTCAAAGAAAAACATTTCTGTTTTTTGCTAGACCAGAAGATCTTTATTATACCATAAAAACTATTATCTCCTAGTAGAGATTCTTGTCTTCTGATAAAAAGAAAAATAGTCTCAACATGTTCTGACTGAACTTGATGTGCTCATGCTCCAAGACAGAGGGGAGGAAGAAGGAACGGTGGGCAGTGCCGTAATGGGCTTCCCTCATTTCCATGTAAAATAAGAATGCAAATGGCAATTTGAGGTCAAAAAAGACATTCTGACAAAAATGAAAAGACCATGGCCTTCAAAATTAAATTAAAACCAGGCAGATTGTAAATACTATAAAAATTGTGGTAGCAGCAGTGAATTTACATATAACGGATGCGTTCACAGAGCAGGGCAAACTCAATGATACTGTTATCAGTTATATGGTAACACAGATCCTGTTTGTAATGAGTAAAATTGCACAGTAACTGTAGTTAAATAGCAGTGAAATTCAATGGAAAGCAAGGTAATTAAAAGTTCATAAGAGCATTCTATTTGACTTATGAAGTTTCCAAATGAAATTAAAAGCAACTTCATAATTCACTGAGTATAGGAATAATAATTCAAACTTATAAGCTATATAGGAAAGGATCAGGAATCATGATAAATTTTCCCACCATGTGCCATGGAGGGACAAAATGGTAAATCAGAAAAATTGTTGCAAACACAACAGAAATATTATTACCCTTTTGTAAAAGAGGAGGGGAAATAAAACCTCTGAAGAAATTCCCCCCAGCACACTGAGTGTCATTCTTGTGTCTGCAGTTGGAAAAGTCAGAATCAGTTAGAGAAAGCGTAGAGAAGGCAATTAAAATGATCCCAGGAAGGGGCCGCCCCACTGGCGCAAGCAGTTAAGTGCGCGCGCTCCGCTGCAGCCGCCCGGGGTTCGCCAGTTCGGATCCCAGGCGCGCACTGATGCACTGCTTGTCAAGCCATGCTGTGGCGGCATCCCATATAAAGTGGAGGAAGATGGGCACGGATGTTAGCCCAGGGCCAGTCTTCCTCAGCAAAAAAAAAGAGGAGGATTGGCAGATGTTAGCATAGGGCTGATCTTCCCACCAAAAAAAAAAAAAAAAATGATATCAGGATGGAGAGGCTATTGATGAAACTGCCAAAAAGGTACTTACCTACCATATGCTTAGCACAAGGCCAAACATTATGAGGGGTATACAAATAATAACACAAGTTACCATTTACTGAATACTGTGAATACATAGGCAACATGCCGAGTACCTTAGTACTTGATCTATTTAAACCCCAAAACAACACTATGTACAAAGTAGGTTTTTATAGCAGAGACAGGCAGCTGCTCACCTAAATGAGGTTTCTTTCCTTTCGGGGCTCACAGCTAGACTGCATTTTCCAGACTCCTTGCAGTTAGCTGTGATCAAACTGTTACAGAGAAAAAAAGTACAAACCTAAAAATCGAGCTCTGAGTAAAAGAAAAAACACACTGAATCCTTAGTAGGAGCAAAGCTTTTCCTAGCACTTAAATTCGAAAAGGGACAAACTTTCCAGAGCACCCACTGGGCACACACAGCACTGAATTAGATGCTTTTCATACGGGTGCACCGGAAATAAACCTATGTGGGCAAAGAGAAAGGAAAATGGAGTGTCTGATGTTTTTAGCCACTTAAGTTTTTCACACATTGAAGACCGCCTAATACTAAATGACTAGAACACAGCCAAAAATTTTTTACAAAATATGACTAGAATGAATTGCATTTTTTTTTCCTGAGGATGATTCGCCCTGAGCTAACATCTGTTGCCAATCTTCCTTTTTTGCTTGAGCAAGATTCGCCCTGAGCTCACATCTGTACCAATCTTCCTCTATCTTGTATCTCGGTCGCCGCCACAGAATGGCCGCTGATGAGTAGTGTAGGTCCACACCCAGGAACCGAACCCAGGCCACTGAAGTGGAGCATGCCAAACTTAACCACTAGGCCACAGGCTGGCCCCATAAATTGCATTTTTAAAACTGCCTTCTTGAGATATAATTCACACACCATATAATTCACCCATTTAACATGTACAATGCAATGTTTTTAGTACATTCACAGAGTTGTGCAACCATTGCCACAATCTAATTTTAGAACATTTTCATCCCCCCTTGAAAGAAACTATATACCCATTAATTCCCTTTCCCTCACCACTTGTCCCCCCAGCCCAAAGCAACCACTAATCTACTCTCAGTCACTATAAATTTGCCTATTCCGAACATTTCATATAAACGGAATCATACAGTATGTGGTTTATTTTGTGGCTGGCTTCTTTCACTTAGCAAAATGTTTTCAAGGTTCATCCATGTTGTAGCATATATCAGTACTTCATTCCTTTTCATTGTTGAATAATATTCTATTGTATGGATATACCACATTTTGTTTATCCATTCATCAGTTGTTGCACATTTGGGTTGTTTCCACTTTTTAACTATGATGAATAATGCTTCTATGAACATTTGTGCACAAATTCTGTACGTTTTCATTTCTCTTTGGTATATATACCAAGGAGTAGAGTTGTTAGGTCATATGGTAACTCTATGTTTAATCATTTGAAGAAACCCGAGACTGTTTTCCAAAGTGGCTACACCATTTTATATTCCCACTAGCAATGCTGGAGGGTTCTACTTTCTCCACATCCTTGCCAACACTTATTATCTGACTTTTTGATTATACCCATCTTAGTGAGTGTGAAGTGGTATCTCACTGTGGTTTTAATTTGCGTTTCACTAATGAAATGATACTGAATATCTTTTCTTGTGCTTATTTGCTACCTGTATATGTTCTTTGGCGAAAGGTCTAACAGATCCTTTGTTCATCTTTTAATTGTCTTTTTATCATTGAATTGTAATTTTTTAAAATCTATTTTGGATACCAATTCCTTACCAGATGTATGATTTAAAAATACTTTCTCCCCATTCTGTGCATTCTTTTCACTTTCTTGATAGTGTCCTTTGAAGCACAAAAGCTTTTAATTTTAATAAAGTCCAATTTATCTATTATTTCTTTTGTCACTTGTGGTTTTGGTTCTGTTTCCAAGAACCCATTGCCTAACTAAAGATCATGAAGATTTACACCTGTTTTCTTCCAAGATTTTTATAGTTTTATCTCTTACATTTAGGTCTTTGATCCATTTTGAGTTAATTTTGGTATATGGTGTGAGATAGGGGTCCTATTTTATTCTTTTTCATGTGGATATTCACTGGTCCTAGAAACATTTGTTGAAGACTATCCTTTTCCCAGTGTAATTGTCTTGGCAGGCTTGTTGAAAATCATTTGACCCTAAATGAGAGGGTTTATTTCTGGACTCTCAATTCTGTTCCATTGATCTATATGTCTATCCTGTGACGAAGAGTAAGTTGGAACTCTTTGCTCAAAACTGCTATGAGCTTATAGCAATAATTGCTCTTAAGTGATTCCTATACCTTTAGGCAAGCAATCATTGTTTGTTTAATTTCAGAGTAAACTTTACAGAAATGATAAATGATAAACTTTTCCAAAAAATTAAACCTAATTAAAATAAACTGCTTTGAGAAGGTTCTAAAGAAAAATTCAAGACATTTTGGGGTATGGTAATATTTGAGGGAGAAATAACTGGCCTAGTTCACTCGCTCCGTTGTTAATTAGAATGTCTCTCACCTTCTCCTTGGGGATGAGCACTCTCAAAGATGACCATCCATAAAGTTGAGGAGGGTAGAATTTCCACTCTCATCAATTATTCTCTCTCCCTCCAGCAAGTGTTGCGACGTCTCTAAAAGCCACAGAAAATCATGTAGCCTCTAGAAGTTTTTGACCACCTATCAAGAATGCAATTTATTTACTATCAAAGCTGAGAAGGAGTAGCGCAGTCAAGCGGCTCTCGCCGGAGCCCGCTCGCGTCCAGAGCGTCGCCCAGGCCTTAAGAACGCCCAAGTCCTGTTCGCACCTGTTCGCCCAGAGCGCCACAGCCGGGCTTACCGGCCCCTTCCGCAGCTCAGGCTGCCCCATCGGGTCTCCAGCCTTATGCACCACCGGTCCGCAGGTGCACTTGTTCCCGCCCTCCTGGGCGTTGGCAGCATCGGTCCCGCGGCTGCCGAGGCCCCCAGGTCTCGGCGCCGGGACGCGTGTCCTCTGCAGTGTGCAGCGGCGACGGTGGAGACGGCGGCGCAGAGGTGCGCTGGGGCGCGGGCAGAAGCAGCGCTGCGAAGGCGGCGCGGGGACACGAGGCGCGCAGGCGGCGCCGGGCTGGGGCAGGCTGGACCGGGTGTGGTGGGGCGGAGGCGGACGGGCCGTGGCCCCACCCTCGCCTCGCCACACCGGCTTTCGGGCGGCGGACTCGGCGAGGGGACGTGGGGCGCGGACGCCGGCCCGGAAGGACGCGGCGGTTGTCTGGGCGCGCAGGGTGTGCGCGGCGGGGCCGGCTCGGGCTGCTTTGCTAGAAAACGCCGCTCCACGCGCGGCCATGGCCTCCCTGTGGCGAGAAATCCTCCTGGAGACCCTCCTGGGTAAGCCGAGGCCGTCCTCGCCGCGCGTTCGCGGGTGCCCGCTCCCCGTGGCCCTGCCTGGAGCCGCGGCGCTCGGCCCGGGAGGGGGAAAAGCGCGCCCGGTGCCCAGAATAGACATGCTTATCGCCCCCTGGGAATTTTGCTACGGAAAGAAAAGAAAAGAAAAGACCCAGATTGAGGTTCCGAAGCCGAGGACTCGGCGAGGCGCCCGCGGGGGCAACGCGTCCCCAGCTCCCACGCCACCCTGGGATTGCGCCTAAGGGGCGCGAATTCTCCACGTGCCGGCTTGGAACCCGCTCGCCTGGTACCGCCCCTGAGTCCCCCTACCCGTGACCTTTAAGTTTAGCTTAATAAAATTTAGTACTGAACTTTTAACTTTCAGGAGGACAGGGCCCCCCCTTCCCCCTCCCCCCGGCGGCAGTAGGTGAGCACACAGGGCGGTAGCCGCTGCTTGTGGTGTCCCGGCAAAAGTGGCCTTTGGTGGCCGCTGCGCATTTGGGATTTGGCAAAAAGCGTCAAACTCCAGTCCCATGTGCTCACTTAGCAGCTTTGCAAAAAGTCTCAAGAACAATTATTGGTGTAATTCTGTCGGAGCTGCATGATTAAAATCAGAATTCCGAGACAAACGTTTGGGAGATTGCTAGAATCGCGCTGTCCACTGTGAAACAAGCATTCCTCTGGCCTGGGAGGGGCGCCTGCCTAAGAATCTGATTTGCTGGGAGCTGGTAATGCTCAGGAGGGCCCATTTTTCTGGCTCAGTCTGTATCTTATAAGTGAGGACAGCCATGTAAAGCGAATTACATTAAGTACCTAGGGTGCTAGGTACTCTGTGCGCCTGATCTCATTTAATCCTAACAACTCTGTGAGATGGTTAAAAGTACTATTTTGCTGTTTAAGAAGGGGAGGGTGAGAAGTACCTTGGGAGAAAGTAACTACACTTAATGGTTAGATGGCTATGTTTGGAGCCAGACTGCTTGGGTTTACATTCACTCTGCCGTTTGCTGCTTTTGTGACCTTAGGCAATTACTGACTTTCTGAGTCCCGATTTTATTTTTTGTTTGTTTTTGCATTTGTAGAGAGAGTAGAAATAGTGTTAATTTCATAGGACATGGGTAGTGTGAGGAATAAGAGAGATGATCCCTGTAAATACTTAGTACAGAGCCTAGCACTTGGTAAGTGCCCATTAGTTAATTATCATTATTGTAGAAGATTACACAGTGAGTGGTTGGCAGAGGTGTAACTGCCTTGGGATCTGGGTGGTCCACTACCTGGTACTGTCTCCTAAGGGTGAGATTTAAAGTAGTCTCGTCACAAGAAAGTGATTGTTGCCTAACTAACCTGCCTTTTGATGTAGTCTGGAGTGGGAGGAAGTGGTCCTGCTGTTTGTTGCTCTTGTTGGTTTTCATTATATTTCTCATTATAGAAGGGTCAACTTAGGTAAGGAAATGTTGTCAGTCAGGGTCCTGACAGGAAACCAAATTCAACCAAGATGGTCCAAATGAAGAGGCTTTAGTAAAGGAACTACCTAGGGAGTATGAACTAGGTTAAAGGAACAAACAAGGGATGCTGAGGGACTCACAACAGCAGGAAGCCATTTTCACACTGGGCTTGATGGGAAGGGGAGGAATTCTCTTACTGGAACCCGGTTAAAGCCCGAGTTGTGACAGAGGGTGGCCAGTGGGAGCAGTTGGCCTGTGGTGCAGGGGCAGGGCTATTGTTTGAAACAATGACAAAGTTACATTTTCTCTCTCTCTTTAAAAAAATTTTTTTCTAGGATATGTTTCTTGGTCTCTCTGCCATGGCCTGGGACCGATGATCTATTACTTTCCTCTGCAAACCCTTGAACTCACTGGGCTTGAAGGTTTTGGCATAGCGTTGCTTTCTCCAATATTCCTAACAATTAGTCCTTTCTGGAAATTGGTTAAGAAGAAGTGGATGCTAACCCTGCTGCGGATAATTACTATTGGTAAGATTTGAAGTGTTTCTTTAAGAATTTGTTTTACTTAAAAATCAAGTAAAATTGTGTATACTGTTCTTTGAATACTAAATGATTGCATAAAAAATAAGAGATTTCTCTTTCTCTTACTACTACTTTGAAGGGTTTTAGCAGAACTAGAAGACTAGAGCGAGTCAGTGTATCTTACATTTCTCACTTTTCTGTCGGATTGGAAAAGCCTAAAAATCAGTGAAATGAGGACAGAGACCTTGGTGAACAGGTCAACACTTGAACATATTGTGTTCTTTTTTCCAACTATGACCCGAAACTCAGAAGCCATTAAAAAATTGTTAAATGATACTGCATAAAAATATGAAAATTATCCGTGATGAACACCACAGTAAGTGAAGTCAAACAGCAAATTAGGAAGAACATTTGAAATTCTTTTAGTCAAAGGGCTAATTTCACTAATACGTGGAATTTTTACAAATCAATAATAAAAAGAGACCAACAACTCAACAGAAAAGGGAGCAAGGGATATGATCAGTTTACTGGAAAGGAAATATAATTGGTTCTTAAAAATATACTAAAATGTATAGTGAAGGGCAGGAAGACTATCCTCTACTCACTCTGAGTCCTTTCTGGCTGGGCTACAAATTAAATTGACATGAGACTGTGGGGGAAGAGGGAGAATCCCCCTCTGCCCTTTCCCTTAAGGTTCTTACAGCTGTCGAAATAATTAACAAGACAGGTTAGCTGGAGAAAATAATACCAAGTTTAATAACATGTATACATGAGAGAAAGCAGGGACACTGCATTTCTCAACACAATAGCAGAAATTCTCATCTTAAATACCATCTTCACCTAAAGACAGAGGAGGATGTTGGGGGTGGGGGGAGTCAGTTACAGGAGATCACCACTAAAGCACTGTAAACAAGAGTAAGGTTATTATGCAGATTTAAGGCCTCACCGTCCACACTGATAAGTTTCTAGAAATGAGGTCGTCCCCCCTCTTCCCAATACAGAGAGGGAGATACCTTTACAAATGGAGATTTCCCTTATAAATGTAAATGTTTGTCTGGCAGCTCCTCGCAGGGCCATCCAGAGAATGTGGCCAGAGAGACAGAACTTCAGATAAGATGGGCTTGTTGGTGCCTTTTCTATTGTAACATCTATTTTACACTATATTACAGTGATCAGATAGAAGATCTGTTCCAGGAAGGAGTTACTATGTCAAATTCTTTAGGCAGTTAGTGGGGGAGGTCAAATGTCCGTCAGAGAAAACAATCAAGGTAAAGAGATATATTTCAGGGTGGCCAAATCTTGATCTCCCACAAGACCAAATAGCAGGAGAAAATCAAAACTTTATAACATGTGTACATGGGCAAAACCAGGGAAACTGAGTTTCTCAACAAGGTGGTGGAGGTTCTCACCTTAAATACTACCTTCAGCTAAAGACAAAGGAGGATGTTGGGGGTGGGGGCGTCCGCTATGGGAGATTACCAGAAAGCACAGTAAACAAGTGTATGCAGATTAAGTCCTCACCTTCCAGCCTTCCACACTGATAAGAGTTTCTAGAGATAAGGTCATCCCCCCTTCTTCCTGGTACAGAGAGGGAAATACCTTTACAAATGGAGATTTCGCTTGTCAATGTCAATGTCTCTTACAAAGGGTAACTTCTACTTTTCAGAGCTTCTTTTCCTTCTGCAGTTTTCTTAAAAGTAACCAGCCCCAAATAATCCTCATGCAAAAGAAACACGTTTTGGGGTGGCCAATTCTGATCTCCTACGGTCCCACATTTGAAACTAAGAAATTTCACAGTCCTTTTGAAACTTAAAGAAGTTTTGTAGTCCAGAGGCTGAGTTCGTAGATTCTTCCATCTCATAGAACACATTTCTTAGTTCTGATAATCAATCAGTCCAATTAAGTTCATTTTAGAAGGCGGTGATGCAGGTGGGATCCCAAATTTAGGCCTATATCGTGGAAGCAAGCAATCAGGTATTTAATAAGAAGCATCTCTATGGAAACAAAAGAAAAACAAAGTTAACGGTTGGAGCAAATTATAAACCAGTTTCTGAGTTCAGAGGACAGCCAGTTAAGAAGATTTTTACACGCCAGCATCAAAGCATCTTTTGCAGCTTAAAATATCTCTGATCATGTCATTGATTAATCTCTCTTAAGTTTATGTCAGGTCTACCAGCTTCAGTTTGCAAGGCTTCAGGAAAAAGGGCAGGTTCACTTCTCAGTGATTCCAAATGAAAATGATGGAAAAAAAATAAAAAACATCAGTTTGGAGATTTATAGCCAGATATTTAAGGAGACTAGAAGAATTCAGGATCCAGTCCAGTCAACAGATATAAAACAAAAACCTCAAAGACAACAAAACTAGGATCTAATATCCACAAATGTGTACTGTGATTTTTACTGAAATATAATTTTTCTCTCTAAAATCATCCTCATTCTTTGTAAAAGATAGCCAAGTTAAGACTAACTGGTTTGCAAATTAAGTCTAGTTTCAATAAATTTGGCCCAGTTATTTCCGTAAGTACAGCAAGAATAGCCATGGATCATATAGGCTCTTTTAAATCTGCTTTGCTGGAACTTTTTATAAGGAATCTCAGATTGAACTTTAAAGGCCTCTCGAGGCCAGGAAAGCTAAGCCAAGGACTTTGTCATCAGACTTTGCCTGCAATACCTACAGATTTGGGTGAATTCATCTCTTCTCAAGGTCCTCCAAAGTATTGAGGTTCCTTGCACCTGCCACATAAGTGATGTTCCTTACCTATCCAGTAAGTGTTGCTTGGAATGCTGCACATAAGGTACCAGGTCAATATTTTCATGTGGCTTTATTCCATAAAGTCCAATCTTTGTCTCTCAAAAGCTGTCTTGTCATATCTGAGTTTGTATGTTTTTCTCAAATATAATATTTCAGTCAAAGCTTTGGTAACATAACCAATGTTTCCAGTTGTGTCCTGTTATAAGGAGAACAGATACTTTTTTTGTTTATTGATGTCTTAATAGTTTATAACATTGTGAAATTTTGGTTGTACATTATTGTTTGTCAGTCACCAGATAAATGCCTCCATTCACCCCTTGTGCCCATCCCCCAACTCCCTTACCCCTGGTAACCACCATACAGTTCTCTCTGTCCGTGTGTTGGTTTATATTTCACATAGGAGTGAAATCACGTGGTGTTTGTCTTTCTCTTTCTGGCTTATTTCACTTAACATAATACCCTCCAGGTCCATCCATGTTGCTGCAAATGGGACGATTTTGTCTTTTTTTATGGCTGAGTAATATTCCATTGTATATATATACCACATCTTCTTGATCCAATCATCCGTTGAGGGACACTTGGGTTGCTTCCACTTCTTGGCTATAGTGAATAATGCTGCAATGAACATAGGGGTGCATAAGCTTCTTTGGATTGTTGATTTCAGGTTCGTTGGCTAGATTCCCAGTAGTGGGATAGCTGGCTCATAGGGTGTTTCTATTTTTAGTTTTTTGAGGACTCTCCATACTGTTTTCCATAGATGCTGCACCCGTTTGCATTCCCACCAATAGTGATTAGGGTTCCCATTTCTTCACAGCCTCTCTAGCCTTTGTTGTTTTTTGTCTTGGTGATTATAGCCATTCTAATGGGTGTAAGATGATATCTTAGTGTTGTTTTTATCTGCATTTTCCTGATGATTAGTGATGTTGAGCATCTTTTCATGTGCCTATTGGCTATCTGTATATGTTCTTTGGAGAAGTGTCTGTTCATTTCCTCTGCCCATTTTTTGATCGGGTTGTTTGTTTTTTTTCTTGTTCAATTGTGTGAGTTCTGGGCCGGCCCCGTGGCTTAGCGGTTAAGTGCTCGCGCTCCGCTGCTGGCAGCCCGGGTTCGGATCCCGGGCGCGCACCAACACACTGCTTGTCCAGCCATGCTGAGGCCGTGTCCCACATACAGCAACTAGAAGGCTGTGCAACTATGACATACAACTATCTACTGGGGCTTTGGGGGAAAAAAA